TTAAATATTGCAGTAACCATTTTAAAAAAGTAAAGAGAAATATTCAAAAAGTGAAAAGTAATCATACATATTTAAACCCAAAATGTTCAAAATATTATTTCAACAGATAATTAATACTAATGTTCTTGTGTGTGTGTGTGTGTGTGTGTGTGTGTATGTGTATGTTGTAGTGGGGATTCAACCCCAGGGTTCTCTATCACTGAGCAATATCCCAAGCCCTTTTTATTTTTTTATTTGATACAGGATCTAGTTAAGTTGCCCAGGCTGGCAACAAACTTCAATCCTCCTGCCTTAGCAAACTGCTGGGACCACAGCATGTATCACCCTGCCCGGCAATACGAGCATTCTTTTTTCCCCCCCGACATTTTTTATTGATGTGTTATAGTTGTACATAATGATGGGCTCTGTTGTTATATATTTATACATGCACACAAGACAGCAATATAATTTGGCCCATATCATTCCCCCTGCACTTCTCTCTTCCCTTCCCACCTCCCACCCCTGGTCCCCTTCCTCTACTGATCTCCCTTTGACTTTCATGAGATCTACCCCCACCTTTCTTTTCCTTTTTCCTATTTAGCTTCTGCCTGTGAGAAAAAACATAGGACCCTTGGCCTTCAGAGTTTGGCTTATGAAGATGCTAATATTCTTGATGAGATACTCTCATTTTTTTATGTGAAGTCTATGAGATTTGATGTGTATTTTATACTTAGAGCAAATTTCTGATTGGAGTAGTCACATTCCAAAGTACTTGTGAGTTAGAACCTTATAACTTGGGCAGTATAAGTCTATGCTCTTTGGCAGAATTTTTCTGGCTTCTTCAGTTTTCAAGGTAGCCTCTTGGTTTTATTGAACATCCCTCATTCTCCTTTGTATTTTTGCTGACTTCCCTTTATCTCTCTTTCGTCACCCTCTGATAGATGCCACATACCCTCTCCCCCAAAAAATATCTGTCGCACTTCTTCCCAGACTTAATTCTATCTCCTTCAAGTACCTAGAAGTTCCGTCAAACTGATAAGATGATCAGAAGCACATTGCTTAAGTCAGGCTGAGAGATAGGAACTGAGAAAAGAGAGGAAAAGTGTTTTCACTTCCTCTTTTAGTCTAGCAATGCCCAGAACTCACTTCAGTGTACACTTTGAATGTTTTTTGTTTTTCCTTCATTTTCATATTCTGTCAACCCATGGGTCATATTTTCATCCTTTTGCAGGAATCTTGTTCTACAAACATGTCCAGATGCATCATTTGCTGTACTTACCACTCAGGCTTTGGGACAGCAGCTGATCTAAAGTGCACTTGGAATATCTGTGCAGCTGTCTATAGTAGCTACTTGCAGGATGGCATGATTGATTTACTGGGTATCAGAGTATTGTGGTTGACATGCTCTTGGCTATTTAGGGTGTCTTATTTTAGTCTGAGAAGGACTCTGAGAGCCTGTTTTGCATACATCCCATGGCATATATGATAAATCTGAACTATGAAGCTGCCTCTGTGTGTGTGTGTGAGCACCTCAGGATGAGATGTAACACCCTCACAATCTACTTACTTTGGAGTTTTATGCCAATCTGTTTTTGTTTTGTTTCTTTCTAGGGTGTTGTGGCAATAAAAATGTGTAGCTCTTGGGCTGGGGTTGTGGCTCAGTGGTAGAGCACTTGTCTAGCACATGCAAGACCCTGGGTTCGATCCTCAACACCACATAAAAATAAATAAACAAAATTAAAGTATTGTGTATAACTAAAAAATAAAAAATAAAAAAATGCGTAGCTCTAGAGAGTCAGTATGCTTTAACAGGCAGGTATTTGCACAGGCAATATTGCATATCACCAGGTTTTTTACTTACATTCTCTTTTAGGGAATAATATTGTCTCATAAGAATAGTATCCTTTGGGGGTTAAAATAGTATTGGCCCAATCTAGAGGGTGAGGTCACTTAACACCATTTATAAATAAAAATAACTGGCTTTCATCACTACGAGCATGTGTTAAATAACGAGTTTTTGACTCATAAAATTTAATGGGACCATCTGAAGGTTCAGGTTTCTCACCTGTTTGGGGAGATTAGTGGACACCTGTTGGTACCCATGTTTCATTTACTCAGCTTCTATATTAACCGTCTCTAATAAAGCATTCTTGAGATTTCTAGGCACCTCCCTCCCAACACTTTAGCTAAGAATAAATATGAAACTTAGCTAGGCACAATGGTGGTGCACGTCTATGATCCCAACAGTTTTGGAGGCTGAGGCAGGAAGATTATAAGTTCAAAGCCAGCCTCAGCAACTTAGCGGGACCCTAAGTAACTTACTGAGAGTCTATCTCAAAAAAAAAAAAAGTTGGGGATGTAGCTCAGTGGTTGAGAACCTCTGTTTTCAATCCTTGGTACCAAAAGACAAACAAATAAAAATAATAAAATTAAAGTCACTCCCAGTGCTTAATAAAATAAATTATCTCTGAAATTCAGCTAACTTCATGATTCATTTCATTTTAAGAATGCTCTTAAGTCATTCCTTGTGTTGTCTATATATGGGCTAAGTTCATGAGAAATTACTTTGTTTTATAAAAATTAAACAAGTCAATGTATTGCTCTTGATAAAATTCTCTGTGGGTTCTATATGTACATGTACATATCCAGTTATAACTGGGACATGAGAGAAACAGACTGACTTCAAGTAATTGTAAATACATAAACACAATATTTTAAAAGTAGAAACTATGAGATTATATATGTATTACCAAATAATCTGAAGAAAATGAAGCATATTTTACATGAAAACTGCTTTTTTTTTTGCATTGAGATTGGACTAGAGTTTAGGTTAACAGAGATTTCCAATTATCAGAAAGCTGATGCGCTGGGGATGTGGCTCAAGCGGTAGCGCGCTCGCCTGACATGCGTGCGGCCCGGGTTCGATCCTCAGCACCACATACCAACAAAGATGTTGTGTCTGCCGAGAACTAAAAAATAAATACTAAAAAATGCTCTCTCTCTCT